CAATTACATTTGTTTGAAAAATATTGTCTTGTTGTTTATAAATGTGAAAAAGCAACGATATGTTTGGTGTCAATGTTTTACTTACAAGTACATTCTGTGCTGATTTATTTTTAATTTCAAAGAATAATATCAAAGTAATCATATCTGCTTGGCCCATTAGGCTTTATTTGTGAATTAATTACGTGAATAAACATCTTGAAAATGAAAATCTAGCTTATCTGATGTATTCATGTGATATTGACATATTGACATTCACAAATATAAATGTCATTTGTTTCCATTAAAAATTAAAATTCTTCTATAATTTGTTGCCTGGATCTTAAAAGTTTGGATCAGCTTTCTTGATTCAATTAGTATTTATGACTGCTTTAAGTCAGTGGTGATAAAATATACTAGTCATGTTGATATACTTTAAGATGTTATTAATAATAACTTGTATAAGTGAATTTGTCAGAATTTTTATTTTCTTATAGGATTTGAATTATCGGGTCTGAATTACCTCCCCTTATGCTTCCATGAAAATTTACTTGTACAGGTAATTTTTTTAAACCCCTGAAATTCTCAATTTTTAAGACGTCAAAACATGCCTCATACATATTTCATGGTTCACTTACATTTTTTTTCAATTAGAGATCAACATTTAATCTAGAAAATTAAGTAAAGAATGTAACCACAGAAGACCCTTCAAAATGCTCCCTAGAGGCTTGTAAATAGGCAGTATATCATGTATATACATAGAAGATAACAGTCAAATAACATTTTCATTGTCCTTAAAATTATACTTTTATGAATAGTAAAGGCAACTATGAAAGACAGTTTCACAATCTATTAAAAATCAAGATATTTGAAAAGCAGAAGATATAACATTTTAGCTCACCTATTCCTAAAGGACCAGTATGCGCCATTGTCATCATTTGGCGTCCATGGTCTGTCGTTGATGTGGTCTGTTAACTTTTATAAAACTCTTCTCATCTGACACAGCTAAGACAATTAGAAGTAACTTGACCACAATTATCAATGGGATATTTAATTTGAAAATTTTGCCCAATAATCCAACTTGCCAACCAACATATGGCCGACATGTAGAAAAATAGAACATAGGGGCAAATGTGAGTTGTGTCTATTATCTTGGAAACCCTTACAGATAGAGAAAATCTGACAAGGAAGTATTTATTCATTGGCCATATATATCATGAATTACATTTGTCTTATGTAAATTATCCCCACACATTTTTGATCACACAAGTCTTTCCCATGACAAAAAAAAATATAAAATCTTTTTTTACTGTCACCATAATGACAGAATACCAATGAATTAAACAAAATAAGAATGTAATGCAAAATATTTTTTTTTTTTTTTTATGTAATTTCATGAATTTACGTAATGTCACTTTTAAAATGTCATTTTAAACAGCATGTAATAAAGATTTCCAGTGAAATAACATACAAATGTAACTGGATGTACAAACTTAATGGAAATTGTTATTGCCAACCAGTATAAGTTTGTTTAAATACATCAATATATAAATAAGGAGATGTGGTATGATTGCAATGAGACAATTATCCACCAGAGTTCAAATGAAGTGAATCGATGTAAGCAATTATAGGCAACCGTACAGCCTTCAACAATAAGAAAACCATTACTGTATTATAAGTCAGCTATAAAAGGCCCCGACTTAAAAAATATGAAACAATTCAATTGAAAAAACTAACGGCCTAATTTTTAATAAAATATTTTACCAAAAAAAAAATATAACAGACATTATAAACCTTTGATATAAATTTTGACAGTCAATTTTTGACTAGTAATCATTCCAAAACTTTTGAAACCAAATACAGGAATTTTTGTCAATATCAAGTATTTTTAAATAATGTAGAATGATAGAAATCATGTATTTTTGTTGTGTGGGATATAGAAATACCAGGCATCGGTCGGGTCTTGTTAGTGCTCTTACATGTACAATTCTTGCTAGATTTTTTATAAAACTTTTATATAGGTTTATGTTGGTGGCCTTCTGCTGTTGTCTGTTCTGTGGTCGGGTTGTTGTCTCTTTGACACATTCCCCATTTCCATTCTCAATTTTATTATATCAGCAATGTCTCGGACAAGTTTGAAAATTATTGTTATGCCCTTTTGAAATATTTAAAAAAAATATTGGAAATTCCATTGCATTTGCTCTCATGCCTTTATTTCTCTAAGATTTTTAAAAAAATGTAAAGAATTATTTTTTTTAGTTATTGCCCTTTGACAGATAAAATATATGCAACGTGGGGGACATTGGAACTCTCTTTTTATAATTTTCTCACGTTATTTTTTTAGATTCCTGCCTAAATGTTCACTAGTACTGTCCTAAGATCATGCATATAATATATATATGTGTGTATTACCATCATGATCATGCATGTTATGGAAATATTCTTTATAAAGCACAAAAATGTCAGTATTCACCTCTGAAGCTAACAAAACCTTTAAATAGACTTATTAAGAAGGGATATAGTTACGATACTGTTGTCAGGTCATTAAAGATTGCATATTTTGGCGTTAATATTGATTCACTTATAGGGTCTTTGCATCGGCACTAAACACATTTATTTAAAAACCAGTTGTTGGCATGACACAGGTTATGTTCTTCTCATATATGTTATGATGGTATGATACTAAACCCCTAACGGGAAGGATTGTGCCTGATATTCATATGATGAAGACATAATCTTTCAATCAGTTTAATTGAAGTCTGGAGCTGGCATGTCAGTTAACTGCTAGTAGTCTGTTGTTATTTATGTATTATTGTCATTTTGTTTATTTTCTTTGGTTACATCTTCTGACATCAGACTCGGACTTCTCTTGAACTGAATTTTAATGTGCGTATTGTTATGCGTTTACTTTTCTACATTGGCTAGAGGTATAGGGGGAGGGTTGAGATCTCATAAACATGTTTAACCCCGCCGCATTTTTGCGCCTGTCCCAAGTCAGGAGCCTCTAGCCTTTGTTAGTCTTGTATTATTTTTAATTTTAGTTTCTTGTGTACAATTTGGAGTTTAGTATGGCGTTCATTATCACTGAACTAGTATATATATTTGTTTAGGGGCCAGCTGAAGGACGCCTCCGGGTGCGGGAATTTCTAACTACATTGAAGACCTGTTGGTGACCTTCTGCTGTTGTCTGTTCTATGGTCGGGTTGTTGTCTCTTTGACACATTTCCCATTTCCATTCTCAATTTTATGCTTATTTTTTCATTATCAGATGTTCCTACTTTTTCTTTCTTTCTTTCTTTCTTTCTTTCTTTCTTTCTTTCTTTCTTTCTTTCTTTCTTTCCTTCATTCTTTCTTTCTCTTTTGTTGGTGGAGGAAGCATTAGTTATAAGGAGAATTTACTGGCAATTTCAGAAATATTGATTTCAAAGTGCTTGTAAAAATTTGTCTCTTGATAAAATTTGAAAATTGAGATTGTTTTAATGCTATATCATTGCATCACATAAAGAATCATTTCAAACTCTACAATCTGCAAACTATACGAATACAGAATCTCCAGATTAACATACAGGTAATAACAACTCTCTTTAACTTCATTACTCCTCTAGGTGAAATTTGTGAGGCTCGTGAATTTTCTGTAGAAATAAGTATGAATGAAAGGATGTGTTCATTTAAAGAAACACAAAAGAATGTGCTCAGTTAAACCATAGCACGAAACCCATAAAACAAAAACTGACTGCATTTGACGTTACAGCATATTCATTTTTGCTCACCTGGCCCAAAGGGCAAAGTAAACTTTTCTCATCACTTGGTGTCCATCGCCAGTTGTTGTCATCTGTTAACTTTTACCAAAATCTCCTATGAAACCAACTGGCCACAATCATCATTGGGGTATCTAGTTTAAAAAGTGTGTTCGATGACCCCACCTGCTTATCAAGATGGCCGACATGGCCAAAAATAGAACATAAGGTTAAAATGCAAGTTTTGGCTATTATTTTGAAAAACCACTATAGATAAAGAAGATCTGATAGGCTCAAAAATGTTAAGAATGTTGAGCTCTACCTCTTGTCTGTTAGCATCAAAACTGTCAGATGACTTCTTCTTGGAGTTATTGCCCTTAAATGACAAATTTTACCATTTTTAAAAATTTTTCCCTATTACAATCAATACAATAGATAGACAGAAACTTTAAATAGCAAAACTGATCAGCAAGACAAGATCTACTAATATAGTAATAAGTAAAACAAGTCCAAAATTGTAAGTTGACTCCTTTTTGAAGTTATTTCCCTTTAATGAAGATTTCTCCCATTTTTGCCTAATATCTTGAAACTGTTAAAGATCTATAGAAACTTAAACAGCAAAAAAGATCAGCTAGACAAGATCTACAAATAAGTCTAAATGACCGAATTGGTAAGTTTAACTCTTTATTCATGTTATTGAAGTTATTGTTGTCCTTTAATGACAATTTTCCCTATTTTTGCCTATTTTCTATAAATATCACAATAGATCAGTAAGACAAGATTTACAAATAAACCAGATGGCCGAAATTGTCAGTTGACTTTTTATTGGAGTTATTGCCCTTTAATGATGATTTTTAACCTTTTTTTTTTTGCATTTTTTGCCTTTTATTTTGAATACTTTAATAGATAAATAGGAACTTTAAAAAGGAAAAATTATCAGCAACATAAGATCTACAAATATGTCTACATGACTGAAATTGTCGGTTAACTCTTGAAAGAGTTATTTTCCTTTCATGATGATTTTTACTATAAAGTGGCCATTGTTGAAGACTCAGGTGAGCGACACAGGCTCTTTAAAGCCTCTAGTTATCATTACTTGGGCAAGATTATTTGTTTTCAGTTCTGCCTGAACCAAAATATTCATTTCAAAATCCCCTGCCCCATTCTATGATAAAAAATGGCCATCCCCTCAGTGTCATTTGATATGTTTACACTAATGAAATTATTTGATTTGATATGATTTATTTTTTAAAAGATTTTTTTATTTTATTATACTTGTAGACATGATAGATGTAAAAATGGATAAAAATGCACCTAAAAGATCAAAATTCGTAATTCAGTAATAAGTTCATCTTCCTCAGCAATGCCTGGGTCATTGCCAACAAATTATGCAAGAATAGGCCATGCAGTACAACAACTGTTTCCAGACATTCTCCAGGAGCTTATTACGATTAAAGAACCTCCTCAAAGGTTATCCCATGATGTCAACTTAAACAAGTACTTGTCAAAAATATTAAGATCTGATGAATTATTATTGATAAGTAATGTTATGATAAATGGATACACAGGCTTTGATATACCTCTTATTTATAAACTTGTAAGAAATTTGAATCTTGTACCACCACCTATACAAGGATGGGACCATTCTACTGCTCCCTGCCCAACAGAAGTCACACCAGGAGATGATTTTGAAAGAATCCGAAGATTCAGAAATGAAACTCTTCACAGAGGTAATGCACAAGTATCAGACACAGAATTATCACAGCACTTTACACAGTTTAAGGACATTGCAGGCAGACTAGAGACTTACATAGGAAAACAAACAGGAGAATTTGTGGACAAGTTTATTTATTTGGAAACATGCTGCATGGATGAGGAAACAAGTAACATGTATATAGAGAGGCTTGATAGGTTAAAGAAAAGTGATGAAGACTGTAAAAAAAGATTGAGTGCCCTTGAAGAAGATGTTGATGCATTGAAAGAGAAAAGTAAGTAAATTATAAAGAAATTAAAAATCAAATACTGTAGTTTCATTTATTAACCAGGTTTTCCAATGGAAATCCAGTAATTGATTTAGGGTTGTACCATGGGATTGCAGCACCAGTTGTTTCTGCCCAATAACTTACAAATCACTGATGAACAATTCAACCATTCCTTTTCTAATTTTGATATGTTCATTGTTGTTACTTATGGCAAAATGGACATGATGGAGGTCAAGTATGATAATGTCAATTTTTACCTTTGCAGTTCAGGAATTCTGATTATTATAGTCCTCCTTGATTGATTGAAAAATTGCAATGTAAGTTGTTCATGTTGTTTCCTTGCAATCAAATGTGAACTGTTCTACCAATAGTGTTCAAATTTTAATATGTTGTTACTAATTATAAGACAAAATGGAGATCAAGTTTGATATTGAAATTTTTTCCCCTTTTGCCATTCAGTATTTATGGCCTTTGATTAATTAAAAAATGGCATTTTCAGTCTTTTCAATTCATATTAAAATAAGAACCATATATGTTCTACCAACATAACCAATGCTCTTCAAATTTGATATTTTATTACTGATGACAAAATTGAAGTCAAGTTTGATATAATTGATTTTCACTTTTGGTTCTTCATAAATGCATTTCAGCAGTTATAGCCCTTCATTGTTTTAACAATGACACTAATAAATGCGACAATACCCCTCCTGAATAAATATGTTATTATACAATTATAGCCTTTGTATGAGGTCGATACGAGGTCCATATAACATGGTATTGACCTCAACCAAAGGCTACAATTGTTATATTATTCATCAGCAACTATTGCAAGAACAATGTAAAATTGTGAATTTCTAGAATTTATTTTTAGTAGCATGCTGTATACCCTGTGCAATATGCTGTTTTGACCTACGAAAAGCTAACAAAAACAGTATTGGCTTGCAAACTGAGTAAATACAAATGTACATGTGATCAAGTTTTGACGAATCACAAATCCTTAAAAGTATTCGATTAAAAATATTATACAGTACATGCAGTAATAGCCTTTGTATGAGGTTGATACGAGGTTATATCGACCTAAGAGAAGCATTTTGACTGAGGACGAAGTTCGAGGTCAATATACCTCTCTTGATTGATATTACATCATATTTAGGGGTGCCGAATGGGACTTGAACTTTTTGTAATCAAAATCAATTTTGTGTACATAAAATTCAATTCCGTCATAATAAAATCATTTTTGTTTTACAAAACTAATAGTATGTGATACAGACTTGTTTTATGAGAACTTCAATTTTGTAATGACAAAATTCTTTTTTGTAGACAAAATTCAATTTTGTCAAATAGGTATGCAAATATAAACTTATTTGCATACAAAATTGACTTTTGTTACCTGATATGGAAATTAAAACACAAAGTTAAATTTTGTGAGACAAAATTCAATTGTGTTAGACAAAATTCAATGTTGTTGTGAGACAAAACTCAATTTTGTTGTGAGACAAAACTCAATTTTGTGAGACAAAATTCAATTTTGTTGTAATACAAAACTCAATTTTGTGAGACAAAATTCAATTTTGTGTTTATTTTTGTGTAGATAAAATTGAGTTTTGTTAAAACAGAAGTGAAAATTTAACAAAACTCAATTTTGTCTACACAAAAATAAACACAAAATTGAATTTTGTGACAAAATCTCAGCTTTGTATGCAAATTAGTTGACAGAATCCAAACTAAACTAATTTGCCTACAAAATTGACTTTTGTTGACCAATTTTTAAAGTTAGGTAACAAGTAAAGTCTGTGATACAAAAATGAATTTTGTCATGACAAAAGTTACTTTTGTCCACTGTAGTATGCTACAAATGTTGGTAAACTGAACTCATTTTTGTTGAACAAAACTCACTTTTGTCCTGACAAAATTGAATTTCGAGTACAAAACCTCAAGAGTCCCGTTTTCGGCGCCCTGTAATACAAGTATTTACCTCAACCAAAGGCTACAATTGTTATATTATTAATCAACAACTATTGCATGAACAATGTATTAGTTGGGAATTCTAGAATGTATTTTTAGTAACATGCTATATGCCCTGTGCAATATGCTGTTTTTTAACCTAATGAAAAGATAAACACAACATTATTGGTGTGCAAACAGAGTGAATACAAATGTACATGTGATCAAGTTTTAACGAATCACAAATCCTTAAAAATTTTCGATTAATAACATAATTATATATCTGATGATGGATAGAAACAATTTTATTTAATAAAACACTGATCAAGCGCCTCCTTGAAGGGTAAAAAAGGCATATAAGTTATTGCAAATACCATGACAGAAAGGGTATATACCCTGGTCATGCTGGTGACGGTGAAATATAAACGATCTTAGGGGGTTTTGACAGCGACTTTGCTTACCTGGCATCTCATTTAAGAGGACTTGTGACCTTTAAAAATGTTCAAGACTTATGGTGCTTAAAAGGTTTTTTAATGACCTTTTTAGCTCACCGAGGCCTGAAGGGCCCCATGTGAGCTTATGCCATCACTTGGCGTCCGTCGTCGTCTGTCGTCGTAAACTATTTCAAAAATCTTCTCCTCTGAAACTACTGGGCCAATTACCTTCAAACTTTAACTAAATGTTCCTTAGGGTATCTTGTTTATAAATTTTATCCGAAGTTGGTATCCATTGACAAACATGGCCGCCATGGCTAAAAATAGAACATAAGGGTCAAATGCAGATTTTGGCTTATACCTCAAAAACTAAATCTTTTAGAGCAAATGTGACACGGGGTAAAATTGTTTAATTGGTCAAGATCTATCGGCCCTGAAATTTTAAGATGAATCGAACAATCCATTGTTGGGTTGCTGCCACCGAATTGGTAGTTTTAACTAAATTTGGCAGTTTTTTGTTATTATTTTGAATATTATTATAGATATATATAAACTGTAAGCAGCAATAATGTTCAGCAAAGTAAGATCTATAAAAAAAGTTAATATGACCGTAATTGTCAATTGACCCCCTTAAGGAGTTATTGCCCTTTAAAGACAATTTTACACAATTTGTTCATCAAGTTTGCTAACATTTAAAAATCTTCTCCTCTGAAACTACTGGGCCAATTACCTTCAAACTTTAACTTAATGTTCCTTAGGGTATCTTGTTTATAAATTGTATCAGAATTTTGTATTCTTCAACAAACATGGCCGCCATGGCTAAAATTAGAACATAAGGGTCAAATGCAGTTTTTATCTTATATCTCAAATTCTAATCTTTTAGAGCAAATGTGACATGGGGTAAAATTGTTTAATTGGTCAAGATCTATCGGCCTTTAAATTATCAGACGAATTGAACAACCCATTGTTGGGTTGCTGCCACCGAATTGGTAGTTTTTACAAAATTTTGCAGTTTTTTGTTATTATTTTGAATATTATTATAGATATATATAAACTGTAAGCAGCAATAATGTTCAGCAAAGTAAGAAATACAAAAAGTTAATATGGCCATAATTGTCAATTGACCCCTTAAGGAGTTATTGCCCTTTAAAGACAATTTTACACAATTTGTTCATCAAGTTTACTAACATTTAAAAATCTTCTCCTCTGAAATACAGGTGAGCAATTCAGGCTCTTGAGAGCCTCTTGTTTACCTGTGCTTAAAGGTGACCTGGTTACCTAAGTAAAACAATTTTTAAATGCAACCTTTTGAAATAAAGGGTACCCTACCATGCCTTATGGAGCTCCATGTTGAAGCTGATTATCCAACTGAACAAATACCGTGATTATGGATGGTGCAATGTTGATATTTGCTTAATAAAGTTGATGCCATATCGGAAAATTTGCAAACATTAAGACAAATCTGTATTTTCTGATATTATTTTAATGGATATAGATTTACTTTAATATATTTTATTAAGTCTGAAAATAAGAAGATGTGGTATGATTGCCAATGAGACAACTCTCCACAAGAGAATAAATGACACAGAAATTAACAACTATAGGTCACCATACTGCCTTCAACAATGAGCAAAACCCATACCTCATAGTAAGCTTTAAAAGGCCCCGAAAGTGGCAAATATAATTCGATCAATTCAAATGAGGAAAGTAATGGCCTAATCTATGTACAAAATAATGAATGAAAAACAAATATGATATACAGCAACAAATGACAACCACTGAATTACAGGCTCCTGATTTGGGACAGGCACATACAGAATGTGGCGGGTTAAACTAGTTTGAAGACGCCAACCTTCCCTAACCTGGGACAGTATAGTGTAACAGTACAACATAAGAACAAACTATAAAATTCAGTTGAAAAGGGCTTAACTCATCAGATGGATACAAAGCAGAAATACATCTAACAAAAACACAGAGTGGAAGAGACAGGGTACTTATACATCACCACAACAAAAAGACACTTAAGTACAGATCTGAGAGTACTCGAAGTTACTCATGTTACTGACAGCTAGTTCAAAGCCAATAAAACTAATAAAAATATCATGCATCTAAGACTAAAATATCAATCAGTACAGATCTAACATCCAATGGATTTAGTGTAAAGACCTCATTAACAGTCAGAGAAAAACATGATCTTGTGCAATGCCAAGATTAAGGTATTGACAGATTGTAGAGCCATGAATGTGCATATGTATATAAGAATAATATTTAGTTTGATTTTAATTTACTGATAATAAAATCAATATTTGTATCAATATAAACAATATTCAAAGATCTAATTATAGTGTTGAATTGGTAACCTTTTACATGTTTTAGAATAAGTTAATTTGATTTTAAGTTTTCCCGGATCTTATCTAAATTTTCCTGGCTCGGTAAACAACATCACCATAAAAATTAGGATGTGCTATCCCGTTTGAAATAAGTTTTCTACAGGTACAACCAAACTTCCAAACCAAATCTTTATATCTATGGAAGAATTTAGTAAATGTTTTAAGTAATTTGTGGTAACGAAATCCCTGACTTAATTATTTACCAGTAATACATAGATTACGTTCATTGAAATCCAAAACGCCACAACAGACACAGGCATAGCAAACAAGTTGTGATATATGAACACCTTAAGATGGTGCCAAAGGACCATAACCATCCAAAAAACGAAAATTATCAATAGGGAACGAAAAATCGTCCCTTTTGTCGTAAATTTTAGTGTAAAGTTTCCAGTGTAAAACTGAAATATCTTAATCTAGGCAAAGGCCAGTTATTATCGTTTAAATTTAATTTATTCATAGTAAGTTCCTTTGGGTAAATTTGGGCAGTATATTTAGAAAATTCTGGATTATTTAACGAAAAAATATCAAGATAACCGGAAGTGTTGTTGAATTTATCAATTAAATGCAATTAAGATGGGTCTTTACTGAGTTTGGTCATAAACTGTAATTCATAACAGTACAAGAACAAGTCTGCTATTATAGGGGTGCAATTTGTGCCCATAGGAATACCTACAACCTGTTGATAAACTTTATTGCTGAAAAGTACATGAATATTATCAGAGAAAATAAACAGCTTCATTCATCTCATCACACCTCCAGTAAGTATATCTAGCATAATTACCATTCTCATTAGAGAAGAAGGCTTTAAATGAGTTGCAGCAAATATATTTGCATTCAGATTTACTAAATGACTGTTTAATCAAATAAGAAAACTTTTGTTTGATAAGATTGTGTGAAAGTTCAGTGTAAAGAGTTGAAAAGCCTGTCTGTTGATATGAGAAGATGTGATATGAGTGCCAATAAGACAACTCTCCATCCAAGTCACAATTTGTAAAAGTAAACCATTATAGGTCAAAGTACGGCCTTCAACCTTCAACACAGAGCCTTGGCTCACACCGAACAGCAAGCTATAACAAGCCCTGAAAATGACTAGTGTAAAACCATTCAAACAGGAAGACCAACGGTCTAATCTATATAAAAAACAAGAAACATGAAACACTTATGAACGCATCAACAAACGACAACCACTGAACATCAGGTTCCTGACTTAGGACAGGTGCAAACAAATGCAGCTGGTTTAAACGTTTTAATAGTCTGTCTGTCCATCCGTCAATACGGCAAATCAGTTTTCCACACTTTTTTTCTTCATGCTTGAAGATATTGATTTGACATTTGGTATATATTTTCATCATGACAAGTTACATATCAAGTTCAAATTTTGTTTTCGTTCTGATGATTTTGTCCAAAGTTATGGTCCATGGACTTAGTAAATTCACTCAAATATTCAGTTTCCACACTTTTTTTCTTCGTACTTGAAGATATTGATTTGATAATTGGTATATATAAGTGTTATCATGACATGTTACAGATCAAGTTTGAATTTTGTTCTGGTCTGATGATTTTGTGCAGAGTTATGGTCCTTGGACTTAGAAAATTCATCCTAATAATCAGTTTTCCACCTTTTTTTTTGGTCATGCTTGAAGATATTGATTTGATAATTGGTATGTAGTTTTATAATGACAAGTTACAGATCAAGTATGAATTTTGTTCCGGTCTGTTTATTTTGTGCAGAGTTATGGTCCTTGGACTTGGAAAATTCACTCAAATTATCAGTTTCCACACCTTTTTTCATCATGCTTGAAGATATTGACTTGATGTTTGTTAATTAGTTTACACCATGACAAGTTATAGATCAAGTTAGCATTCTGTTCCAGTATAATGAAATTTTAACCGGTAGGGGACTATGTATTAATTGCCATGCAATACTCTCAGAATGCTTGTTTTTATAGTGATTCAGATTATAACACAATGTTGACTGCTGTACCCCTATTTTTGACATTTTTACCTATTATGTCTGTTTGTTTTGTTCACACATTGTTGTCAATATAATGGAATTTTATGTCTTTGAATTAATTAGCAATTTTCAATGTTAAGTTTTCTGTTTAAGTTAGTTTGAAAGATCAATGATATTTTGTATGAAGTTGCATAACTCTCAGTTCATATCAGTTTGATGACTACCGGTATTTCGAGGCCCTGCCCCCTAGGTCATGGTCAAGCTACTTTCAACTAATAAGCATTTTTTAATGTTAAGTTTTTTGCTTAAGTCAGTTTGATAGGAACTGCTTGTGATAGACAATGATATTTTGTATGAAGTCACATTACTATCAGTACATATCAGTTTGAAGACTATTTTGAGGCACTGCCCCCTAGCTTGGATATGGTCATGTGACTTTGAATATAAAGTTAGCAATTTTCAATGTTAAGTTTTCTGCTTGAGTTAGTTTGATAGGATCTACTTGTGATAGATCAATGATCAATGATATTTTGTATAAAGTTGCATTACTATCAGTACGTATCAGCCTGGTGACTATTTTGAGGCCCTGCTCTATTGGACATGGTCCAGTGACTTTGAATTAATTTGCAATTTTCAATGTTAAGTGTTTTACTTAAGTTAGATTGATAGGATCTACTTACAAGGATATTTTGTATAAAGTTACATTACTGTCTGTACATCTCAGTTTGTCGACCATTTTCAGGCCCAGTGCCCACTAGATCATGGTCCAGTGACTGAATTAATAAGCAATGTTGTTGTCCATCAGATTGTTTTTTTTTTTTAATTTGATGTCGACAGGCGAGACATATCTCTGTGACAGTTTATATAGAATTGAGGTTATGGTTTAACAACATGTTTGCAAGAAGTAAGGAAACCTAATAATTTGGTATTAGGATCAAAATCTTTTAAGAGGACATTGACCAGTTATATTATGGATACCAATGAGAGGAAATAATATGATGGTATAATTACAGAGTCTAAAACATATGAAACTTGTGAAGAATATATTAATATATATATCATTTTCAGATTCATCGACAACTCATTTACTTGATACCATGGCAACAGAAATACCTAGTGAAGAATCAAATTATATTAAAATATGTCTTCTAATACTAAAAATCTCACAACGTATAGTTCGACTCAAGTTTGACACAGAGTTCCATCCTGACTGCTTACAAGAAACTCTCAACAGAAGTAGTGGTAAGCTGAGAGATCTTCTAAGGAAAAACAGAATAAATCAGCACCAGTGGACATTGTTATTTCCTCCAAAAGGTTTGAAAATATTTGTTGATAAAAAGCGTAGTAGTTAGATATAAATACAATGTATTAAAGTGACACAAACTACCAAAATTCATAAATTTCTTTCCTAAAACAATTTGAAGATTCAAGTTATTAACATAAACAGGAAAAAATAAACAATTATAGTAATTTATATATTTACAAATATTTGAAACAAAATTTAGAAGTGAAAAATTTTGAAAAAAGAAGTAATATTAACATGAATTATTGTGAACTAAATGAAACTCTTCAACATAGTCATCTCCTCTTGGTCAAGGTATTTAAATTTTTGTCAGTTCAATTGTCCCATTGAATAAATACAATAGCTATTGTTCTCTGTATAGTTTATTCACTGGGACCTTCAAAATTTCTTCTAAGAGAAATCCATCACCCATTGAACATGTTGAATAATTTACCTGAAGCCAAAAGTTTCTTCTAAGTAGATGAAAATACATGTAATCAACTCACAAAACTGCATGTGATGCTTTATTTACTCAATATATCAATAATATATTTTCAGTATATATATGTTGTGTACAAGTTATCATTTTGTACAAATTATAATTTGTACCAAAAAATTGTACAAATTATAATTTGTATTTTGACTTTGTACAAATTGTAATTTGTACAAAAAGTGCTTGTACAAATTACAATTTGTACAAAATTTGACTAAAATTCACTTATAACTTGTACAATATTTTCCAGTATGAATTTTGTTATAAAAAAGCATTGATACACACTACAGAATTGCTATTCAATGACCACACAATAAACCCTATTTACAAAATACAAAAGAACCCGGATGGAGACAGGAAATGTAATTGATACATGCATGCCAGTTAATTCTGATAGTACAATAGAAATTGGCCCCAGTGACAATTGTGATAGAATAACAATAACCAGCTGCGTGTGAATTTTTATGCAATAAGCATAAATAGTTTCTGACATACCGCGTGACATGCGAAAACCCCCTTTTTTTTTTTACAAAAAAATCAATATCTCTAAAATTAAATTTTGAATCAAAACCAAAAAGTATACAGATCTTTAGATTAATATAACTAAGAAGTGTGTAAAATTTTAAGCAATAATCATAAATCGTTTTTGAGATACGGAGCGACATGTGAAAAACCCCTCCCCCTTTTTTTACAAAATACTCAATAACTCAAAAAATAAAATTTTGAATCATCACCAAAAAGTATACAGATCTTAAGGTTAATATAACTAAGAAGTGTGTAAAGTTTTAAGCAATAATCATAAACTGTTTTTGAGATACGGCGCGACATGTGAAAAACCCCTCCCCCTTTTTTAACAAAATACTCAATATCTCTAAAATAAAATTTTGAATCATCACCAAAAAGTATGCAGATCTTAAGATTAATATAACTAAGAAGTGTGTAAAGTTTTAAGCAATAATAATAAATTGTTTTTGAGATACGGCGCGACATGTGAAAAAAAACACACACCTGTTTTAGTTACTAAGTCCCGTAACTCAAAAAGTTTTAATCTTATTTTCACCAAAAAGTATACAGATCGTTTGACCATCATAAGAAACAACTATGTTAAGTTTCATGAAATTTGGATAAGTCATTCTCAAGTTACGGTGCGACATGTTTAAGCCGGACGGACAGACGGACAGACAGACGGACAGAAAGACAGACGTACGGACGCCGGACATTTTTATACCATAATACGTCCCGTCAAAAATTTGACGGGTGTATAAAAATTGGCACCAGTGACAATTCTAATAGTAAAGTAGAAATTGGCCCCAGTGACAATGTGATAGTACAATAGAAATTGGCCCTAGTGACAATCAGGATGACGCTGACGTTAAAACACCAATCAAATGTGCCAGGAAGCATGCGCTGTCTGGCCTACAGATCCAAGCCAAAACAGAAATAATCAGAACTTGCAGTGGGGGATAATGTCATTATACTAATTCCTCAATATGATCGTGCCCCAACTGATCCTCGAAATATCTTAAGTGTAATTATTGAATCTGGAGAACTTGGATACCGCATTGAAACAGCTGTAGGAATTTTAACAGGATATTTGTCGAGAAATCAAATTGAAGCTGTTAAAGACACATCTTTATTCGCCGAAACAGTTTCTGAGCTTCAACTTTCGCTACGTGAAGCAGTTTAGAAGCTTTCAAAAACCGGTGGTCAGGGGTTTCTGTCATGTAAATACAAAGGGGGATGCACCACTTCTGAATGTAAATGCAAAAAGCAAAAGATGTTGTGCAATTACCAAAGCCATAATTCACTCACATGCTCAATCAAATGATACTGATCTATTTTTGTATTTTGTAAATAAGGTTTATTGTGTAGTCATTGAATAAAAATTCTATAGTATGTATCAATGCATTTTTATAACAAAATAAATACTATAAATTATTGTACAAGTTATAAGTGAATTTTAGTCAAATTTTGTACAAATTGTAATTTGCACAAGCACTTTTTGTACAAATTACAATTTGTACAAAGTCAAAATACAAATTGTAATTTGTACAATTTTTTGGTACAAATTATAATTTGTACAAAATGATAACTTGTACACAACATATACACAGATTTAATCATGAAAATTCTGACAAAATTGTTGTACACCTCTGAGGAGCCAAACATTTCTAGAATTAAACTTTTTTTCTTAACCTGATTTTTTGGGTTTATATGACTGTAAAAAAATAATTAGTGAAGAAAAAATAATATGGTGGTGCACTTCTTTTTTTGCTACGGCCCTTTGAAGACCCAATTTTGATGATTTTCCCATTTTCCATCAATTTTTACCCATTTTTGGGCTATTATCGTGAAAAAAATCACAGTTCCACAATTAAACTTTTTTTCATACTTTCAATAAAGATGAAGTGGACCAATCTGAATAAATTAAACTTAAAAAAAACTATAGGTAGGTGTTAATATAAGAAAGTTTTATCATATTTTGATGCTTTTTCGTGTCAAATTTACCATGCTGTCAATTATGTAAATTTGAGATTTTTCTCCGTTTTAAGAACAAAATACATATTATTTCAACTTCTTTGTTATAAATGATCGAAAAAAAACATATCTAAGAAATTTGAAAAGAAAAAAGTGATATGGGATGTATATGTTTCTGGTAAAATCATTTCTTGTACCCCTCACCCATTTTCTCAAAATTTTGTTTAAAAAGACTGACTTGATTGGTAATAAAATTTGAAAAATTTATTACTCAAAAACTACTTATTGTAAATACACAATTTTTTCATAGAGTTGAGTTTGATTATAACACTTTTTAAATTCATTGATATTTTCCACTTGTATCACATGTATTGGAAATAATCCCAGAACAAGATTTCAACGAGACTGAAACGTCAGAAGAATACATCCTTAATATTGTTCCTATTGAAATTTGCATTTTTTTTTGTGTTTTTGATTAGTTACAGAATACATTAAAGAAGGCCTTAATTTAAACTAGTCATTTTCCAGTTTTTATTTGTCAAACACACAAAAAAAACAAATTTTAATAGGAACAATGTTGAAAGAAAATTTTGTCAAAAACTTTGTTATAAACAATGCCATAATATCTGTTCCTGTTTAACCGCCTCGTAATAGCATGTTTGCCTCAAGTGCAGGAGGTTGTGGGTTTGAACCCTGGCCGGGTCAAACCAAAGACTTTAAAATTGTTATTTGCTGCTTCTCCGCTATGCACACATCATTCAGGAGTTTCGTTATCTCTCATGTTGACTGGTATTTTTCCCATTTGTGGTAAGTACTTTAAAATATATTCCATGAATATAAAAATTCCTAAATTCAGCTGGTACATGTACTTATCAGTAGCATAGGAGGGCAAAAGTACCGGGTACTGCCTCCTAATGAACGGCCTGAGCATTAAAGATTAAGAGCAAAGACTGGTCGGCTCAAAGTCAGAAAAATATGTCCGGGTAAGGTGACATGTCTTCCTGCAGAATTTTACCTTGTGAACTAGCATGTTAAAAATCCGGATCAGTGTGTCAGTCTAGTACAAAGCAGTGTTAATGTTCATATCACATTAACATGTTCTCGTCCTGAATATGAATATTAATTTGCCGCTTGACATTAAGTAGCCATCCATCATCATCATCATTTGTTCCTATTGGAACAAATATTCTGTACCCTTTATTCCGTAAGGAACAAATACTGTAACATTTGTTCCAGTGGAAATAATATTACGGAACATTTTTTCCACTTGGAACTTATATTATGAAGGAACTTATATTTTATGACGATCTCTTACAGCATGTACAGTTTTCTCAATTAGTTGATTTTCTGTTTTTCCTTTGAACTTAAAAAATTATATACAAGAATGTGTCTAAAGTACATCATGTACATGGATGCCCCACTCGCACTATCATTTTCTATTTTCAGTGGACCGTGAAATTGGGGTCAAAACTCTAATTTGGCATTAAAATTAGAAAGATCATATCATAGGGAACATGTTTACTAAGTTTCAAGTTGATTGGACTTCAACCATCAAAAACTACATTGACCAAAAACTTTAACCTGAAGTGGGATAGACGGACAAATGGACGGGCGAAAGGAGGGACAGACAGATGGACGAACGGATGCACAGACCAAAAAACATAATGACCCTAGGTGGGGCATAAAAATCAGTTATCTGGTCTCAAGATTATATTCATAATTTTGTTTACAGAAAGTGACAAGTATCGAGAACACATTTTTGGCCCTGACAATTATGGCCCTGCAACAAAGTTGTCCGTGCCAAATAGTTTTACCCTTATCCGTCATTCCATCATTCTGTCATTCAGTCATTCTGCAACAAACAGTTATACAGACATTTTTTCTAAACATCTTCACATATTGAGCTGATTTTTAGTATGTGAGTCTACTATGATGAGTTACAGATCGAGTTTATGTTTGGTTGTGCTCCACTGATTTTTGCTGAAGTTACAGGCTTTGGACTATGAAAATTTCATGAAAACAGCATTTTTACGGACTCTTTTTTCTAAACACCTTCATATATTGAGCTGATTTTTAGTATGTGAGTCTTAACTATGATGAGTTACAGATTGATTTATGTTTGGTTCCGAACATTTTGTGAAAATAACAGTTATATGGACTTTTTTTCTAAAAGCCTTCACATATTGAGCTCATTTTTAGGATGCAAGTCTACTATGATGTGTTACAGATTGAGTTTATGTCTGGCTCCACTGATTTGTGCCAAAATTACAGGCTTTAAACTTTGAAAATTTTGTGAAAATAATAGTTATACATGTACCAACATTTTTATACGACCGCAAAAAAATTTTTGTGGTCGTATATTGGTATGACGTTGGCGTTGTCGTCGTCGTCGTCCGAAGACACATTGGTTTTCGCACTCTAACTTTAGTTTAAGTGAATGGATCTCTATGAAATTTTACCACAAGGTTTAATAACACATAAGGAAGGTTGGGATTGATTTTGGGGGTTATGGTACCAACAGTTAAGGAATTAGGGGCCAAAAATAAGCATTTTTGTAACTTCCAGACATAACTTGTGTGTTAGTTTATGGATCTCTCTGACATTGTACCACAAGGTTCCATATCACAAAGGGAATGCTTGGATTGATTTTGGGGGTAATTGTCTCAAAATTTTAGGAATTAGGGGCAAAAAAAGGGGCAAAAACAAGCATTTTTCTAGTTTCATGACAATAACTTGTGTGTAAGTTTATGGATCTTTCTGAAATTGTACTACAAGGTTCCATATCACAAAGGGAAAGCTGGAATTGAGTTTGGGGGTAATTGCCCAAAACGTTTAGGAATAAGGGGCCAAAAGGGGGCAAAAAATAAGCATTTTTCTAGTTTCCAGACAATAACTTGTGTTCAAGTGTATTGATCTCTCTGAAATTGTACTGCAAGGTACCATACCACAAAGGAAAGGCTGGGATTGATTTTGGGGGTAATTGCCTCAAAATTTTAGGAATTAGGGGCAAAAAAGGGGCAAAAAAACAAGCATTTTTTCTAGTTTCATGACAATAACTTGTGTGTAAGTGTATGGATCTTTATGAAATTGTACAACAAGGTTCCATATCACAAAGGGAAAGCTGGGTTTGAGTTTGGGGGTAATTGCCCTAAACGTTTAGGAATTTGGGGCAAAAAAGGTGCAAAAAAACAAGCATTTTTCTAGTTTCCAGACAATAAATTGTGTTCAAGTGTACTGATCTCTCTGAAATTGTACTGCAAGGCACCATACATTGTAACACAAAGGGAAGGCTGGGATTGAGTTTGGGGGTGATGAATCATAAGGGGGTTCAAAAAATTTGAGGGGGGATTTTTTTCCCTCTTTTTTTTCTTTAAAATTTTCCATTTTAAATTGGTTATTTCTGATTTATATATAAAAGCAAATAATAATGATATGGTTTGAATAGGTAAATTAAAAATTTTTAAGTTCTTAGACCACATTCATTCAGAAACCTATGCTGTGTCAAATACTTAATCACAATCCAAATTCAGTGCTGTATCAAGCTTGAATGTTGTGTCCATACTTGCCCCAACTGTTCAGGGTTCGACCTCTGCGGTCGTATCAAGCTGCACCCAGCGGAGCATTTTATTTATTCTAAACGCCTTAACATGTATTATTGAACTGATTTTTAGTATGGGAGTCTACTATGATGAGTTACAGATTGAGTTAACGTCTGGCTCCACTAATTAAATGTGCCAAATTATGGGCTTCAAACTTGAAAATAACAGTTAACAGATTTTCCTTCTCAAATTTCCACTCCTATAAATGGCTTCAAAGCTTTTTAGTATATATATGTGATGAAAATATTTCTTATATATAATATATTTTTTGAAAGTTGTTTATTAATCTAAGAAAGTTATCCCTGAAGTCTATTCATGTTCTCTTATAAATAGCCCAGTAAATTGAGATGGGAAGTTCTTTAAATTCAGAAGATAAGGGAAAATATAACTCATCTGTTACAGTTTTCTCAATAATAAAAAAAATCATTGAACAAATTTTTCAATTTACAACATTGATAAACTTGATAATGATCATTTATTAGTTATCAATTTGTTGATTTTCTGTTTTACCTTTAAACTTAAAAAATTATAGATAATCAGTTATCTGGTCTGTTTTCAGATTGCCTTTTACATTTTTTTCCTAATTTTGTTTACAGAAACTGACAAGTATGGAGAACACATTTTTTTTCTACAGAATAGGGTTTCTTGTTGTCGATTTTTTTTATTCTAATCAATAGATTCTTAGGTTACATATTAATTGTCCGCCGCGCAACGTGTTGCGGAGGACATAGAAATACTGGGCGTCCATCCGTCCAGTCTTGTTATCGCTCTCACATGTACATTTCTTGCCAGATTTATATTGGCAATGTCTTGGACGAGTTCAAAAATCAGTCCAAATCAATTATTTTTAAAAGAGTTATTAATCAGTAATTGGAAACATTAATTATATGGAAAATTGCATCGTTAGCGCTCTCATTTGTTCAATTCTTGCCAGATTTTTATGAAACTTATATCATAGGTTCATATTAGCAATGTCTTGGACGAGTTAGAAAATCAGTGCTGATCAATTATTTTTAAAAGAGTTATGCCCCTTGGAAACATTAATTATATAGTAAATTGCATTGTTAGTGCTCTCATGTGTTCAATTCTCTTCCAGATTTTTATAAAACTTATATCGTAGGTTAATATCAGCAATGTCTTGGACAATTTTGAAAGCGCTAATCAATTATTTTTAAAAGAGTTATGCCCCTTGGAAACTTTAATTATATGAAAAATTGCATTGTTAGCACTGTTATGTGTACAATTCTTGCCAGAATGTTCTGAAATTAAATCATAGGTTTATATTACATGTATTAGCAATTAGTTCCAAAATCAGTGCTGATCAAAAAAATTAAAAAGAGTTATGCCCCTTGGAAATATGAATTAAAGTGAAAATTGCCTTATGAGCACTCTTATATGTACAATTCTTGCCAGATTTTTATGAAATTTATATTATAGGTTTTTATCATCAATGTCTTTGACGAGTTCGAAAGCGCCAATCAATTACTTTTAAAAGAGTTATGCCTCTTGGAAATATTGATTATATGGAAATTTGCATTGTTAGTGCTCTCATAAGTTCAATTCTTGCCAGAATTTTATGAAACTTATATAATAGGTCAATTTTATATATATCAGCAATGTCTTTGACACTTTCGAAAAAAAGTTTTGATCAAATATTTTTAACAGGTTATGCCCCTTGGTAATATTAATTATAATGGGTCACATTGCATTTGCTCTAAAGCCTTAATTTCTCTAAGATATTAATAAAAAGTCTTATAGAACAAAAAAAAAGTGCTTTTTTTAGTTAGTGCCCCTGTACCTTGGATAAATAAAATATGTGCAATGCAGGGGACATTGGAACTCTGTTCTTTTATTTTATCATATATAATCTCTATTTGCTAAAGTCTCAAAAGAAATTCGGGCAACTATTTCATATAAAAATCAGAAGATGTGGTATGATGCCAATGAGACAACTCTCCACCAGAGACCAAATGACTCAGAAGTTAGCAACTATAGGTCACCGTATAGCCTTTAACAATGAGCAAAACCCATACCTCATAGTAAGCTATAAAAGGCCCTGAAAGGGCAAATATAATACAATTCAAATGAGTAAACTAACAGCCTGATTTATGTACAAAATAATGAACATAGAACAAATATGATATACAGCAACAAACAACAACCACTGAATTACAGGCTCCTGACTTGGGAACAAGCACATACAGAATGTGGCGGAGTTAAACATGTTTGAAGGCGACAACTCTTCCCAAACCTGGGACAGTGGTGTAACGGCACAACACAACAACAAACAATAAACGAAAAATAATTATGAGAAACAGAAAAAAATGACAACCACTCAATTACAGGCTCCTGACTTGGGACAGGCACATACAGAAACGTGTTTGCTGGCACCAAACCCTACCCCTAACCTGGAACCGTAGTGCATCAGTACAACATGTCATGTCAATTTATACAAGCTACAACTAAAAGCTAAAAATTGTTTTTTTTTTTTTTTAATAAAGCGGGTCCAACTTTGTAGAAACAAATAAATATTTTAAGACTGTAAAAAAGTGACTTTCGTAGAAAGTAGTGGATATAAAGTTATGGCACAACATAATACTTCATTAGTCTTAACTGATCATTTAGAAACATTATTAAGTAGCATATAGGTTCATGACTTGATAAGAAAATCTTTTTCCTAAACATTTAAACATGAAAGGCAGATAAGATTTAAAATGGAATTTTACAAAAATAATTCAGTAATGACGTTTTTCTATGTTTACAGGTAAACCATCATCTGAAAAGTACGACATTACACTTATGATAAATTTGATCAGAAATCTGACAGACATTCACATCAGCAGTGAACTTCCCTTTCCTACACAAGTCAGTGTTGGTGATGATCTATCCAGGATACATTATTACAGAAATAAAATTGCTCACATGGACAGTTTTATAATTGAGGAGGATCATTTCAATATTTACTGGGAAGATATAGCACAGGTATATTCAAAAGGCACTACAATTTACTGGATTTGAAAATAAATACAAATGGGAGTTTTATTTATATAAAAATATTTGCACCATTATCGTAATGTAAGAGATATTTATATCATTTTTAGAAAATAAACTGAACCATAAGTTATCAACTTTATTTTTGACAAATTTAATGCTCCCATCAAGGAAAAAAAAAACATAAAACCTTTTTAGTTAACATAGCCCATGTGTTGAAGTTGTTCATCTGCTATTATGCAAATATATTGTTTGGGAAATTTTATTTTCATTTTTCCAGACTTGGGTATATGAAAGAGGGTACAAATTTTGTGTAATCAACTTCTCATAGAGGTCTCGACCCAGATCCTTCAAACTTCATAGAAAGATTGCACATATGTTAAAGTTGTGCACCTGCTATAAAGGAATTGTTTGAAGAATTTTTACATTTCATATTTCAAATATTTAATGTTCAGTATATAACATTTTCCAGTGTTTAAAACATTTTGGGCAACCTGGCCATTTGAGTCTTTAATCTATATTTCTTTAAGTGGTACAGTCATGTTAACTATCAGGCATGTCCAAAATGGTATTATGACCCTCTTCAAAGAAATTATCATGCCCAGATTTATAATCGAATTTATGTCTTCAGATTTAAATTGACACATTAAAGTAAAATAAAATAAACGGCCAAAATCATCTGTCACTTACGAGTCTGAATTTTTATGTCCCCGCCATAGCGGAGGGGGCATTAAGTTTTACCCTTGTCCGTCTGTACGTCCGTATGTTCCAAAATTGGTTTCTGTTCTCTAACTTAAGTTTGCCTCAACCAAATGTTATGAAACTTATACACAGTGCTTATTACCACAAAACACAGATCAAATTTGATTTTTGGTGGCATCACTTTTTCTGTTCTAGAGTTTTGACTCTTTACAAATGGAAAATTTGCTGAATTTTTCATTTCCATTCTCTAACTTAAGTTTGCCTCAACCAAACGTTATGAAACTTAAACACAATGCTTATTACCACAAAACTCAGATCAATTTTGAATTTTGGTGGCGTCACTTTTATCGTTCTTGAGTAATTTCCCTTTATAACATTATATGCAAGCGAGGGCATCATCCCATAGACACATTTCCCATTTATTATGCCCCCGCCGTAGCGGAGGGGGCATTAAGTTTTACCCTTGTACGTCTGTACGTACGTCCATTCGTCCATACTTCCCAAAATTGGTTTCCGTTCTCTTACTTAAGTTTGCCTCAACCAAATGTTATGAAACTTATACACAATGCTTATTACCACAAAACACAGATCAAATTTGAATTTTGGTGGCCTCACTTTAACCGTTCTAGAGTTATGCCCCTTTATAAATGGAAAAATTGCAAAATTTTTAGTTTCCATTCTCTAACTTATTTTTTTTTTCATTTCCTTGAGTAAGGAAGACAACTATTGTATCTCATGACATATTTTTTATTCCTATTCTGCTAAATGATTTCAATTACATTTACTTGGCCTTAAGGAATATTATTCCTGTCCTCCACGTAATAGGGGAGATAATTGAATTTTCTTCAATATTGCAATATGTGATAAAAGACTTTTGTACGTGCATACATTCCTAAACCACCAGACCGATACTGATGAATATGTGCACAGAAGTAGAATACTACCTGAGGATGTGCCTTAATAAATATAACATAATCCAGGTCCCATATATTATAGGGGAGATAATCAAACTTACTTACTTCAAAATAACAACTATTGATGAAACTTCAATGATTTTTGATTTATTGAAATTCTATTATCATTAAGTTATTATGTCTGTTTGGGTTGCTTATCCAATTTTGTCAATATAACAGAACTATAAATAACTGTCATACGAGTGGGAGGTTTAGCTAGCTACAAAACCAGGTTGAACCCACCATTTTTTTTTTGGAAAATGCCTGTACAAAGTCAGAAATATGGCAGTTGTTTTTCAATTGTTCTGTTGATTGATAGCTTTTGATTTTTTCAGTTTTTATGGACTTCCCCTTTTTAAATTTGCCTTGAAAATTGGTATTTTTGTTATACATTTTTACACATGTGTAGAAAATTATAAGTACTGGTAGATGAGGATGTGCAAAAAATAATAGTATTACCTCTTTAATACATGTTGAAAGAAACACTGTTTTTCCTCAGTTTCAATTTTTGTAAATTTTTATAGACTTAGTCATGTAAATATACTTTATATTGGGTATATGGGTATGAGGGGTATATATACTTTTGTTAGTTCACTCACAGTTAGAATGAGATTTAGTGCTTGATGTACTGACAAGAGACCTGTCTATTGTCAAGTATAAAGATAAGGAGTTGTGGTATGACTGCCGATGAAGACTGTATGTTGACCTCTATAAATGACATAATGACACCAACCCACCATGCCACAGTGGATATGATATTATGGTCTGTCCATTATACTGTTAGTCCAGAAACTCATCAATACTCAGAAACTGTTTGACATAAAGTATGTAAAGCTTTCATACCTTGTAGGATTATTTGTTGTCATATTTACTTGCCCTTGCTGATTTGGCAGTATGATTTGACAATTTTTACGGGAGTAAAGGGACAGTGACCGTTGATTTTATACTGGTAGATTTGTAACAGATGACACCTTGTGAACTCAACTCCTCTGATTCCATTTTATAGAAAGTTCTCATACTTGGTAGGATTGTTTGCAATCATGTGTAGTTGAACATATAGTGCCGTCATTTTGAATTATCCATTTTTATACATCTGAAAAATTTGCCGCCGTATAATGGTATGGCGATGTCGTTGTTGTTGTCCAAAGACATTTGGTTTCCAGACAATAACTTGAGTATAAATGTATGGATCTCTATGAAATTGTACCACAAGGTTCCATACCACAAAAGGAAGGTTGGCATTGATTTTGGTGGTAATTGTCCAAACTGTTTAGGAATTAGGGGCCAAAAACAAGCATTTTTCTTGTTTCAGGACAATAACTTGTGTATAAGTGTATGGATCTCTATGAAATTGTACCACAAGGTTCCATACCAAAAAAAGGAAGGTTTGGATTGATTTTATGGGTTATTGTCCTAGCTGTTTAGGAATTAAGGGCCAAAACAAGCATTTTTCTTATTTCAGGACAATAACTTGTGTATAAGTGTACGGATCTCTATGAAATTGTACCACAAGGTTCCATACCAAAAAAGGAAGGTTGGGATTGATTTTGGGGGTTTTGACCCAAATTGTTTAGGATTTAGGGGCCAAAAAACAAGGATTTATTAGTTTCCGGACATTTACTTCAGTATAAGTCTGTGGATCTCTATGAAATTGTATCACAAGGTTCCATACCAAAAAAGGAAGGTTGAGGGTTATGGCCCTTACCCTTAAGGAATTAGGGGCAAAAAAAATTACTTTTCTAATACTTTATGTAAATTGCTTATTTCTTGACCAATTTTAATGGGGTTTGATTCAAAGTCTTGAATTCATGGGGTTCTTTAATATACTGAGATTTTTAATATTGTGCCCTGTTTTTAAAATGGTTCACATTCATGACATTGAGGTCCAAAAGGTCCAAAACTAAACTTTGTTTGATTTCATCAAACATTTAATTATTGGTGTTCTTTGATATGCTTAAAATCTAACGGTGTATATAGATTGTTTTATTTTGGGCCCAGATTTCAAATTGGTCCACATCAAGATCCAAAGAGTCCACAATTAAACTTACTTTGATTTAAAAAAAAATTGAATTCTTGGGGTTCTTTGATATGCTAAATCTTACCATGCATATATTTAGATTTTGAATATTGGACCATAATAGGTAAATGTCTGCTTCCAAATTTTTAAGACTACATTCATTCTGTGTCAGAAACCTATGCTGTGTCAAATATTTAATCACAATCCAAATTCAGAGCTGTATCAAGCTTAAATATTGTGTCCATACTTTCCGGAACTGTTCAGGATTTGACCTCTGAAGTCGTATGAAGCTGTGCCCTGCGGAGCATTTTATTAAAGGAGTTAAGGGACTTTGACCATTTTTAGGAGTATCATGACAATAGCGCTTTGTGATTTAGCTTTTCTGAGACTCCTTCACAGAAACCTCATATTTGGTAGGACTGCATGATTGCCATCATGTTAAGTTGACCATATTATATGTCATTTGAATCCAACAATTTTTACAGAAATTATGGAACTTTGACTATTTTTTATAGTATTGTAACCTTGAGAACACAACTCATCTGAGTCCATTTGACAGAAAGTTCTAATACTTAATAGGAATGTGTGCCATTGTGTGTAGTTGACCAATGTACTGATACTGTCATTTTGATTTAATAGATTTTATGGGACTTTTACCATATTTTGAATTTTGTACCACAATGACACATTGTGACACCCAATTTAATTCCTCATTTATACAGCACAGGGGACATATACCCCATATCTCCTCTTATTCAATGTATACTTATATTAGTAATGTTATAGAATGAAATGATAAATCTTAAAAGTTTAACTTTTATTCAAGAAATAATTCATGGAAGCCATAGATTTGTTGGACATTTACACATGGCCTGGGCTGTGATATTCATTAATTTTATCCCTCGCTAACGCTCAGGATAAAATTAAGAACTATGAGAATTTACACATTTTTTCTAGTGCTTATTTAAGAAATAATTCATGTAAGACTTAGATTTATTTGAAATTTGTAGCTTTTATCTTACAGGGGGCAAAATAGAACAGCCAACGCTCAGGATAAAATTTGAATATCACGGCCCAGGCCATGAGTAAATGTCCAACAAATCTATGGCTTCCATGGATTATTTCGATTCTAATAAGACAAATACTGTTATTTAAAAACTGAAGCGAAGGTAAGATTGCTGTGTGTATGGCTGTTCTATTTTGCCCCCTGTAAGATAAAAGCTACAAATTTAAAAAAAAATCTAAGTCTTACATGAATTATTTCCTAAATAAGCACTAGAAAAAATGTGTTCAATTCTCATAATTCTTAACCCAAACATATTTTTTTTCGTTGGCTACTATTTACTGTCAAATCCAGAGTTGACATGTCGTAACTAAGGAGTGAGCCGCCATGTTGACTTGCTAAAATCCACAAATGTGCAAATAATGCAATGGAATAGAAAATGAAACAACACCTACCTCAAAACCAGGGCTTCCAAAATTATTTTTAGCCAGCCGGACATTTTATATATTATCCCGATTTTAATCCCTTAAGACTAAATAAATAAAAAGGCAATTATAGTAATCAGTTGCCGAGTTGGCCATCCCAATGATTGACATTAAAAAAAAAAACGATATTAAACTTTCTTTGAGCCAAGATTGTCACCTTAAATACTGAATTTCAAGATATCTGTGATTTTGTTCCTTCCAAATAAGAATAAATATTATTTTAGGCTTTGCATCGACTTGGTGGTGGATCGTTCAATGGAGAAATTATTGAATTGAGGGAAATGCAGATTTTTGAATCACAAAAGTCAGATAGTCTACATGATATACAAATGCAAAACAGAATTGTAGCTGTCGAAGAACAGCTTGTAGAAGTAACAGAAAGAATGATGTCACTTGAAATACAACAGAATGACCCTATACCTAAAAATATCAAGGGCAAGTATTACTTAAAAATTTTCATCTGATATAGATAATGAAAAAAAATATTGAGGTGACATGAAGTGGGGTTCAGTAATAAGGGATTGAATAAAGACAAACAACACCTATAAAAACTGAAGATTGAGCAACACAGCTCTCTAAACACTACAGATGAACTCAGGTGCTCTAGATGGGACAAATACTATACTCTGAATAAATAAGATTATTTCAATATTCCGATTTATAAATGTTTGAAAAAAAACCTATATTTATTTTTTTTGTCAAAGTTGTAGCTAATGCACCTTTGAAGTAGGTGAAAGTTTTGGTTCAAGATAGTTTACTTTGGAGTTGTAGTCACATTAACTTGAAACTTTGTACAATCTTTATTATTAGGCAACTTTAAAAATAAAAACCATGTCTAATTCATGTTTGGACCTAGATTTCGTGGTTCATTGTAAACATGGTAAATGGACATGGTTCAAGTAGGGCTTGGTTCCATACCGACACATATTATTGCTAGATTAAAAGTTAACCCAATAAAATATTTCTAACAAAAATGTGAAAACTTTCAGTTTGACATTGCACATTTGTTCACATTGGTGAATGTGATATGTGATATGTGGAGTAGAATTGACTTACCCGGGTATCTGGAGTACCTTGGATCAGCCCTGATTTTGGTGTGTTTTTTTGTTGAGCCTGCGACTTTTGTCGCAGAAAGCTCGACATAGGGACAGTGATCAGACAGAGGCGGCGTTAACCAAGTACTTAGAAGCTTAATATTTCAGAAGGTAGAAAACCTGGAAGCTTTGTATGTAGATGCCTTTTGTTATGGAGTTTCCGTCTGTCATATGTCCATTGTCCTTGACCTTATTTTTTATGGTTCATTGGACAATGTTTAGTTTTTGTGGTTTGGTCTATTTCTCAGATAATATAAGCAACAGGTCAATTGTCTATGGTGTATGGAACGATTGTAAGGATTTACATGTCCGACTCGCAGGTTTCATCTGACATTGACCACAATTTCCTGGTTCAGTGGTTAAAGTTTAGTTTTTATGTATTTGTCAGTTTTTCTAATACTGCATGCAATAGGTCAAGGATATTTGGTGTATGGAAACATTACAATAAAGAAGTCAGTCTGGCAGGTTTTATTTGACCTTGACCTCATTTTCACGGATCATTGCTCAATGTTAAGTTTTTGTGTTTTGGTCTGTTTTTCTTAAACCATAAGCAATAGGCCAATTATAATTGGTGTATAGAATGATTGTAAGGTGTATATGTCTGTCTAGAAGGTATGATATGACCTTGACTTCATTTTCATTGTTCATTGGTAGTTAGATACTATATGCAATAGGTCAACTATATATGATCCATAGAATGATTGTAAGGTGTACATGTCTGTCTGGCAGGGTTTGTCTGATCTTGTCCTCATTTTCATGGTTCATTGGTCAATATAAAGTTTTCATGGTTTGGTCTGTTTCTTGTATACTACAGGCAATAGGTCAAGTATATTCAGTGTATGGAATGATTGTAAGGTGAACATGTATTTCTGGCTTGGTTTATCTGACCTTTACCTCATTTTCTTGGGTCATGTCAAGTTTATGTGATACTTGTAGTAAAATTTTATATTTAGAACTATCAACATAAAATCAATGGTTATAAGTAAAGCAGGCGAGACATTTCAGTGTGTGCACTCTTTGGATGCTTTTGGATGCTATATATTGTTTTATTGTAGGTTGTTGATTTTTTTTTTCATGTTTTTTTGTTTATTGCTGTGGTATTGTCAGTTCTTTGACTTATTTTCCCTTTGAATGTCATTACTGAAAAATATATTTAGTAAAGTAAATTGTGGGTAAAAAGGGTGGAAGTAGGGTTGTTTGCCTTGCTCTATACACAGTTCAAGTAAGAGCTATAAAAGAGTATTATTAATGTATTAGCATTCTTCATTACAGATGTGTATGAGAAGGAAATTAAACATTGGATAAAAGATGATGAAAAGTTCTTTGAAACCTCAGCCACAAGGAAGATATTAGGTTTTGTAAAAGAAAATACTGTCACAGTCATATCTGGTAGTTCTGGAATGGGTAAAACAGCCACTTCACATCAAATTGCATTACATTTACAACAACATGAAGGCTACCAGATTTTGCCAATTTCTGACCCAAAGGACATTGAGAAATATTATACAAAGGGACTTGCACAAATATTTGTTTTTGATGATTTATGTGGAATTTTCAATGTCGATCAGCATTTGATTAATTCTTGGGACAGAGTTTCGAGTCAGATAGAAAGATTTTCTAAGGAAAATAAACATTTTCGAATCCTTGTTACTTGTAGATTACAGATAACAAAAAATCCACAGTTTGAAAAATTATCGGACAAACTAAATATGAAAGAATGCAATTTTCTATCAAAAGATTTGGCTTACACCAATGGTGAAAAACTGAAAATTGCCTCTTGTCATATGGATCAAGAACACGTGCATAAACTTAGCAGGGAGATCATCAGTGGCCTGGACATGTTTCCATTTCTATGTGATATGTTTGGTAGATCTGAAAACAAAGATATGAAAATGTTTGAATTCCCTATTCAATATTTTGAAGAGCAGTTTGATCAGATGCAGTATCAAAATGAGGAGTGTTTCCTGGGACTGGCGTTGCTAGTTATTTACAATGACACAATAAATACAAATGTCTTCAAAGAAGAGAGTATAGACACAGGATTCAAGAAGATCTTCAAAGAAGTCTTTCAAAGTTTAGAATTATCAAACCGTCCTTCTAAATTGCATGTCCTTAAAAAATTAAGGACCTTAATTGATACTTATATTTCAAGTTATATTGAAAACAATGAATCAATAATAACTAGCAAACATGACATAGTTTTTGATTTACTTTCTTCATATTTTGGAAAGAAAATGACAAAAACTATAGTGAAATATGCTACACCAGATTTTATTTCAGATAGAATCCAGTTTGAATCTTTAGAAGAAGAACATGATGAATATACAATTATGATACCTCCATGCTATGAACATTTGTACTTTAATCGCATGGAAGAGGAGATAGTGAAAAAGAATTTTTATGATGTATTTGGAAACACACAATCCCATATTCAATTATATCAAGAGAAATTTATTGATTTCTTCTCCAAAAAGAAAGATATTATGGAACAATTACTACACAATAGATGGCCTCTTTATCTTTCATCGATGTATGGATGTGGTATTTTTGTACAGTTTTTGTTGGAGCAACACACCCCATCTGAATTACTACAAGATATTTCTGATAAAAGCAGCTTTGAAATAGCAGCTAATGACAGTGACACTGAAGATGTTGAAACTGACTCAGATAGATATAGAATTACACACAAAAATGCACCCTTAGTAATAGCATGTACAGAGGGTCATTTACAGATAGTTCAAATTCTTGTCAAATATGGATATGAAGTTGATTGTGTCAAACCAGGACTCCTTTCCCCCTTGTATGCTGCATGTTACTATGGTCATTCAGACACTGTGCAGTATCTCCTGGGATGTAAGTGTAAGGTGGATTTGGAAAATTGTGATGGTCTAACAGCCCTTCACGTTGCTTGTATGAAGAATAACCCAGAAATTGTTTCATTACTATTAGAAAAAGGCTATACCATCAACAAACCAGGATTTTGCAAAGAGACTCCTTTTTTTATTGCTTGCAAATGGGGTAATCTAGATGTTGTGAACATTCTTCTGAAATACAATTATTGTGATATTACTATATGTAACAGTTTAAGTGAAAGTCCTCTACATGTAGCTTGTAGAAATGGACATGAAGATTTAGTGGAACTACTGATAAGAAATAAATCTGATGTCAATGTCATAAATTATTTTGGCAAAACAGCACTGCATGAGGCTTGCTCTTCATACTATACTCAAGTTTTAGTTCAGGATTATGATACTTGGTCAATTGGAGGTGAAGGAGATGACATTCAGAATGATGAAGTTGAACATGACATGAATATAATTGAGGATAAAATTTCAGTCAGCACTGAAACGTTTCGGAAAAGAATTGTGGAAATGTTGTTGCACAATAATGTAAACCCGTGTATAGCTGATTGTCATGGCAACACCGCACTTCATATGGCAGCTGAAAGTGGTTATCCAACAATAGTGGATATTTTGTTGAAGAAGTTGCTTAAAATAAATAAAATGGCATTGGTAAATGAAGATAAACCAGATGATCTGTACAAAACAGTTATCCCACCCCTTTTTTTCTCAAGTAGTAAATGTGTTGTCAATGTATTTGTACAACATACCTGCAACATGAATATTCTAGATTCACATGGTCGAAATGCTTTACATTATGCTAGTGTAAAGGGTTATTTAGAAATAGTAGAATTCTTGTATGACATTGGTTGTAAAATGGATCTTATAAATGCTTCAGGAGAGAGTGTTCTTCATGCAGCATGTCAGGGAGGAAATGAGGATATTGTGGAATTTTTCCTAAAGAGAGGATGTGACCCTAATCACACTGACAATTATGGACATACTCCTTTATTTGTGGCATGTGAGAGATCTAATATAAAGGTTGTAAAAATATTGATAAAATATCACTGCGATGTTGATAAAATCAATATTGGAGGATGCAATGCTTTACAAAAAGCATGTTTGAATGGTCATGCTAACATAGTTGATATTTTGCTCAAAAATAAAATCAACATCAATCAGGCCGATAATTCGAACAACACCCCACTGTTCTATGCATGTTTTCATGGTTACAAAGATGTTGCCAGTTTATTAATAGAGAATAAAAGTGAGGTAAATATTCCTAATAAAGACGGACAAATTGTTTTACACATGTCATGCTGGTAAGGTCATCTAGAAATTACACAGTTATTATTACAAAATCACTCGAACATTAATCAACCTGATAAATCAAATCTAACACCTTTACATCTGGCAGCCACAGAAGGATACAACGATATAGTGGAATTATTGATTGAACATGGTTGCGATATCAATGCTTGTGACATCAATGGCCACAATGCTTTGCATCATGCATGCATCCAGAAGGTAGAACATGACAATCTGCTTTGGATAAGTTGTTGTTCAAGATATCATCGACAGGATCATTCTCAGAAAGAGGTTGTTGTTCTTCTACTGCAAAATAAATGTGATGCCAATCAGGAAGATACCTTTGGTCAGATACCTTTGCATATAGCATGTGAGACATATACATCACATAGATATCTAAGATGTATGACAGATATCGTTAAACTGTTATTAAAGAGTGGTTGTGACATAAATAAGTGTGATAACTCGCACAGGTCACCATTCCTTGTTGCCTGTGAAAAGAACGGATATAAATCTGAAGAGATTTTGACTACTCTGGTTGAAAACAACTGTGATGTCAATATCAAAGACAGCAATGGACAAACTGGGCTCGAAATTTGTACATCAAAGGGATTTACTTGGATGACTGAAATTTTGCTCCATAGTCAAAATTCAAAAATTGAGGCTACAAAGGAAAATGCTTAAGTTTATGTTGCAATTGTTATAAACAATATACATTTATCTGTGCTTCAATAAATTAAAACAACAAGATTTTCTTTAGAATAATACAAAAAACTATGCGAAATAGGAAACAGTCACGGTTATCAAATAATATTTCTTTAAAACATTTGAGAAGCATTTTGTTCTACATTTTGTCAGTCTTCGGCTAGAAATATTGTATCTGTGGGCAAAATTAAAAATGAAAATATTGAAAGAAAGAAAAGGGACAATAACAATAAGGTGCATTTCAAAAAATATGGTACAAACAAAACAAAAATCAGAGAACAGAAAAAAAGCATGTTAACAAAAAAGGGACAACGAATGCTGCAGAATAACAAAAAATTACATAGAAAATCGAAGAATGCAAAAGGAGCTTCCTTGGTAAACAGAAGTTACCAAATATTGAAGTAAATAGCATAATTTTCAGTGTGTTTAGTGTTAGTGCATCATATAATAATATATTTGAAATTAGATTCATGACTCCTTTCTAAATTAAAATCAAGACAATTTAAATGCAAATTCTTCACCAATACAGCAAACAAATTTATAGATTGAAATGCAATACAACCTTTTTGTGAATGTTAAATAGTCAAGTTGTTTGACCTGCTTTGTCCACGAATTCGAAATATGAAGCTGATTTTAATGAGCTTCCCGTCCCAACATGCCCAACTGGGACACATCATTAAAAAAAACAGGGAATGATAATTTAAAGTGATTGTAGGGGAGCTCCCTTGAAAATTTTGTTTTTCTATTGCAATCACTATTATTGCATCAGGAGAGTTTGAAATACGTGGATTAAAAATATCAGGCCTTCTATCTGTGGCCACAAAGAAACACAGGAGGTACAACTGAACTGGGTCACACGATTTCTTTCGGATTTACTACTCATTTTCGTCTGTTGCTACGTATGCTTATTTTTTCCGCGCAAACATTTATTTGCACTTTTATAAATAATTGATTCCTGCACTTAGTGTTACAGAATATTCATTTTCATCCTGTCTTATTTAAGGTTATATATGTTCATCTCTTACCAGACCAGAATATTTATTTTCAACCTCCCTCAGAATTGTCGTCCCCTATTTTAAGAAGGGACAATATTTATACAAGATGCCATTAGACTAAGCATAACTAGTAGTGACGAATCTGCATACAAAACCTTATGTACTTCCAGTGTGGAATGATGACTGCTTGATTTAAATATGCTTCTTGTAGGTTAATAGATACCCCAACTCAATCTCCTAGTTGTGGTGTCTGTATTATTGAGCGTAATGTTTCCTTCTTGAAATGCTCTTTTTGTGGGTAAGCATTTAAGGATTTTTAGATGCACCGTCTTTTTTGGAAGTGTACAAAAGGTGCTGTAGAAAACTTGGCCTTCCTAGCCTTGTATATACACTCAGAGATATACACCATAGCACCCTTTTCTAATTATTTTCCACTTCGCATATGAAATTTTACATATTTGTTAGAAGCTTTCGTCCGTCATAGAAAAAAATCATCGAAGATTCTAGTCTTGCAATCCTGTGCTTTTCGTTTACAAGACTCATCAGCGACTATCGAATAACAAAAGTGAAAAGGCCGAATAAAGTACGAAGTTGAGCGTTGTGGACCATAAATTCCGGATCTCCTGTAGTTGGTGATCGCAATACTGGTATACTAGTATTGTGCACAATACTGGTATAAATATTTTGTACCAGTATTGTACCAGTATTGTGTTTTTATACCCCACGCAACGGGTTGCGGAGGGTATAATGTTTTTGACCCGTCAGTCCGTCCGTCCGTCAGTCCTGTTTCTTGTCATCGCAACTTCTCTCAAACCACCCAACAGAATTTCACGAAACCTTTTTAGATAATAAGGACATACTATGTAGTTGTGCATATCGACAGGAAATTGTGATTCAATTTTTTTTCTAGGAGTTACGCCCCTTTGAACTTATTTACTTTAATGTACTACTGCAACAGTTAGTCATCGCAACTCCTCTCAAACCACACAACAGAATTTCATGAAACCTTTCAGATAATAAGGACATACTATGTAGATGATTGTGCATATCGACAGGAAATTACGATTCAATTTTTTTTCCAGGAGTTACGCCCCTTTGAACTTATTTGCCCAATATACTACCCTCCGTCAGTCCTGTTTCTTGTCATCGCAACTCCTCTCAAACCACCCAACAGAATTTCCCGAAACCTATTTAGATAATAAGGACATACTATGTAGTTGTGCATATCGACAGGAAATTGTGATTCAATTTTTTTTCTAGGAGTTACACCCCTTTGAACTTATTTACTTTAATGTACTACTGCAACAGTTTGTCATCGCAACTCCTCTTAAACCACACAACAGAATTTCATGAAACCTTTTCAGATAATAAGGACATACTACTTAGATGTGCATATCGACAGGAAATTACAATTCAATTTTTTTTCCAGGAGTTATGCCCCTTTGAACTTATTTGCCCAATATACTACTGCAACCTTTTGTCATCGCGACTCCTCTCAAACCACACAACAGAATTTCAGGAAACTGTGTAGATATTAAGGACATACTATGTAGATGTGCATATTGACAGGAAATTATGATTCAATTTTTTTTCTGATACAATTTTTTTTTCTTACACTTATTTTATTTCTCCAATGACAATGTGGGGACGTGGGGTATGTGAGCGCGCTCACTAAGGTTCTTTCATTTAAAATAAACAATACATATAGGTAATTAATCTTTTATTAAAGGTGTCACATATATATGCATAATGATATTAAAATATGACATGACAATTTTATATGGAATGATTATATGTTTAACTGATGATGCCATTGATGGTACACTGTGATTGTAATCAAAGAAAGTTTTAAATCTTCTGATGTTTTTTTCTTAAGGGAACCGTAATGTCTCAGCATTTTAACAAACTCTTTACTTTCTTCTATGTTTTCTTCCAGCTCGCTCTTTCCAAGACTCAATAGTATATTTTAGTGAATTTTATATTGACATTAATGCTGTTATAGCTTCTGTATCATCAGCATTGGTATTGTTTATTTCTTCTTCAGATGGCATTTCTGCAACCCCACTTCCTTTATTGATATTTAGGTATCAGTCTGTGGACTTTCTCTTACGCTTACTAGATTACAAGCTTGTTTAGATAGCACCTGCACGGATTTGTACCAGTAGATAAATCTGCTACAAATTGTATTGCCCATGGTTCTGAATCAACTGCTTTAACTACCCTTAACATTCATGTAGACAAACTAGTTAATTTGATTATAATCAGGTTCCCCTATTAAGCAACTTTTTATGTTTAATGGCTATTGATATCTTTTATCATGTTTATTGTGAAAGATTAATAAGAAAATAAAGACAAACAAATGCATATGATCTTAGTATACATGTATTAAATTATCAGTAAAAAATATACGATGGCATACAAGTAAATGCTAAATTTACAGTGTTGTAGTGTAATTATTTGCTTGAATTTATTAAATAATAACTCAGATAATAAAGCTTTTATTGTATTTTATCTAAATTGAACTAAATAAAATATAGAAATATGATAAAATTATTAGCAATTATATATATAATTAACAATTGTTTGAATAAGATGAGTTAATTACAATAATCTTTTGTTTATTTGTACAAGTATAGTAATTATTTTTAACTGGTTGTTTATTGATTTCACAATTATCCTCTATAATCTTTTTGAGTTCGTTTAATCTCGAGCTCCCTTTGATCTTCAATATCTAATTTTTCTTAAAATTCATTTTTCATTATACACCTTAAAGTATAGTGAACAATACAACTACAATACTGGTATATCAGTAATGTACCAGTATTGCTGTTTTTTTTTTTAAGTTACAATACTGGTACAAAATTTTTATACCAGTATTGTGGACAATACTGGTATACCAGTATTGCGATCACCAACTACAGGAGATCCAATTCCAAAAGGTTTTGCCTAATACAACAGGTTATATCGATGTTCCTTGGTTACATGTATCTCAATGGGAAAATTGGGTAAACATTTTTGAAAACGACGATATAAACAAGGCACTGGCTACGGTTACATGGAAATGTAACAATAATAAAAAAATATATTGTTACATTGGAGACTAATTGCCGGAATGCAGGGTTGGGTAAGGAACCGATTAATTACGAATGTAACAATAATAGTTGAGTGTACGGTTACATTGCGTTATTGTTACATTAATGCACTACAATGTACGCTAGGACTAGTAAAATATGTATTAAAATAAAACTGGAATACTTTATTTGAATTTTACAATATTGCATTCAATTTTTTAAATTATTCACAATGACAGTTTCTACAAATCCACGGTATGTTGTTTTGGGAGCATCTTTTAGTCCGACGCATTTTGGTGAAACCACTCTTAAGCAGCCATCACAAACGAGTGATGCAGCAATGTGCACGTCTGTATTGCATACTGTACAATTCCATTCTGCACTATCCCTTTTTAGCTCACCTGGCCCGAAGGGCCAAGTGAGCTTTTCTCATCACTTGGCGTCCGTCGGCGTCGTCGTCGTCGTCGTCCGTCGTCGTTAGCTTTTTACAAAAATCTTCTCCTTTAAAACCACTGGGCCAAATTTAACCAAACTTGGCCACAATCATCATTAGGGTGTCTAGTTTAAAAAATGTGTCCGATGACCCCGCCAACCAACCAAGATGGCCGCCATGGCTAAAAATAGAACATAGGGGTAAAATGTAGATTTTAGCTTATATCTCTGAAACCAAAGCACTAAGAGTACATCTGACATAGGGTAAAACTGATTATCAGGTCAATTTCTATCTGCCCTAAATTTTCAGACAAATCTGACAATCTGTTGTTGGGTTGCTGCCCCTGAATTGGTAATTTTAAGGAAATTTTGCAGTTTTTGGTTATTATCTTGAATATTATTATAGATAGAGATAAACTGTAAACAGCAATAATGTTCAGCAAAGTAAGATATACAAATAAGTTGTCATGACCAAAATTGTCAGTCGACCCCTTTAAGAGTTATTGCCCTTAATAGTCAATTTTTAACAATTTTCGTAAATTTTTTTAATCTTTTACAAAAATCTTCTTCTCTGAAACTACTGAGACAAATTTAACCATACTTGGCCATAATCATTATTAGGGTATCTAGT